AGACAGATGCGGCAGTCTGCTGCCATAAATACATAGAGCCTTGGAAACTCTATGGGGGCATTTCTACTCTGTCCTCTAGGGTCCTATGAATTGGAATTGACTGGACTGCAGTTGTGGTTTAGTACAAAGCACTTAGTTGAATGTCAAATTCATTTATTAAAATGTCTATTAGATATCTCATAGGAACTGATTATCAAAAAGAATCCTATTTATTTCAAATCATGTTCCTAGTCTTATATTCATTCTCAAGGAATGGTACCACCATTTACTCCTGAAATTCAAACCAGAAGCCCAAGAATCATCCTAGACACCTCCCTCCTGTTCATGGTTCCAAACTAATCAGCGACAAGTCCCACAGATTCTATTCTCTTTTTGTATTCACCTATTCATTAATTCTTGTCGCTGTCCCTATCTTCAGAGGGTGACATCAGCAAAATGGCGACAGAGGCTTCTGTCTGCCCATTAAAAACAAACACACACTATCAGAATCAACTGTGTCAGAGCTTGTAAATAGTGAAAATGGACAGGACCCAAATGAATGCTGAATCAAGAAAAAAAAGCAACCTAACATGGTAGGAAAAAATTCAATGGGTCAGAAAAGAAATCAGACGGCAAATTAGGGAATACTTAGGTGTGAATGAAAAGAAAAGTGCAACATATCAAAACTTAATGGGATGCAGTGAAGGGAGTGCTCAGAGGAAGTGGGGGTGGGGTGGTTTCCAAGGCTGTGAATCTTTACAGGAGCAGAAAGCCTCATCTTTCTCCCATGGAGAAGATTTGAATGACTGACCTTGCAATTAGCAAGCTAACTCATAACACACTACACTACAAGGGCTCCCAGAGGGAAATAGATACTTGTAAATGACTACATTAAAAAAGAAGAAAGATCTCAAATCAATCACCTAACAGTATATCTTCAGTAACTAGGAAAAAAAGACAAAACTAAATCCAAAGCTAGCAGAAGACAGGAAATTGTAACAAAGATTAGCAAAAAACAAAAGAGAACAACTAAGGAGTCAGTTCTTTGAAAAGGAAGGTTTATAAAGATGACAAAACTAGCTAGAATGACACACACCAAAAAAGAGAGAGATGATGTAAATAACTAAAATCAGAAATGAAAGTGGTAATTACTACTGACCTTATAGAAATAAAAAGGATGATAAGAACAATTATATGAACAATATAATTGTTATAATCCTTTTTATTAATTATCTGTATAATCCTTTTCCTTATACATCAACAAATTAGATAATCTAGATGAAATGGACAAATTCCTAGCAGCACATAAAATACCAAAGTTGCCTCAAGAAGAAATATAAAATTGTAATAAACCTATAATAAGTAAAGAAATTGGATCAGTAATTAAAAATCTCTCTTTTCAAAGCCCAGGACCAGATGGATTCACTGATGAATGATACCAAAAATCTGATGAAGTAAATCAAGATTTTTCAAACTCTTCCATAATATGGAAGAGAAGGGAACACTTCCTAATTCTTTCTATAAGGCTAGCATTAACTCGATACCAAAGTTAGAGGAAAGACATACCACACACACATACTAATTACAGATCAATATCCCTTACAAATATAGTTGCACAGAATTTCAACAAAATACTAGTAAATTAAATGCAAGAGCATACACATAGGGGTTGGGCCTTAAGGTAAACAAAATAAGTAGGGGACAAAGAAAGGTAAAAGAATATATAATTTTTTTCAAAGATATTTCCTCCTTTTTTATTGTGCCATGGCCTGCGTTTCTATTATATGATCGCCATATCCTTGGTTAGATTAGCACATGTTATAATTATGCAGACAGATCCTAACACTACATAAATTAATAAGCCTCCAAAGCACCATCAACAGAAATCACATCCTTTTTTCCAAATGCATATCTTAAAAGAAACTTTGGAACACTCTTTTTATTCCACTCAAGTGGCTGGTCCTTGTGTGCTGTAAAACACTATGAAACCAGTGGATTTATAGAGCCAGTAAAGAATAATGTCTTCTTATTACATATCTAATTGTGTTTGTCTCCTGTGGCTTCCTTTAGCAAACAACAATTTAAGATCCCATTCATCATTTTCTGGATATACAAAATTCTACACATCTTTGAAACAGCATTTTCACTGTGTTGACAAGAGCATTTCAAGAAAAGCAAATAAAACAGAAAATCATGCTTTCTAGCCAGATAAATGGAAAAGTTAGACTAGAGACTAGAGATGCCTTTTAACTAACCGTTGCATTGCTAGGAAGTTGAATGATTTATGACTATGAGCAAACAGCCAAAGCAGGATTAAAGGGGACTCACTTGTAGAGGTTAACTATAAAGCCAATGAAATAATTTACTTCGATAATAGCTGCTTGGATACAGCTTTGGATGCTAGACCAGGGGAAATATCAAGACCTTTGGATTTCAACCCATTCACTTCTTAATATTATACATACACAGATGAGATCATTGCTCAATGTTTTCGTTGACATATGCTGATTTATTATTTTTTTTAATTCCCAAATTGCAGTGCCAGCAAGCTTTTAAAAATTCAAGGATGTGAACGCAAAATAGCAGATTTTCACTAATTTAGTTCTACCATGAAATTGAAAAAGGAGTTGCCATGTTCTTTTGAAGGAGCACATTCATCAAAAAGGGAACTAGCATCCTCATTAGGAGTAATTAATATGCTCTGAAATAATGTGTGATGAGATGAATGCTTCTTAGATATTTTGATGATGAATGTAGCCACTTAAGTGTTGGACCCTTGCCCAGTTTAACTAACACAAAATCATGAATTCTCTTTTCCCTTCATGTAAGCAAGAGCACAAGTCCTTAAGTGTGTCTCAGTTGTTTATCTGGTTAATTTACCATTTGTTGAGCTCTGCTGTGTGACAGACACTGATGTTCTGAGCTTTGGGGATAGTGTATAAAGAAGACAGAGTGGCCCTCATGGAGCTTACAGTCTAGAAAAACCAACTAACTAAATATGTATATGGATTGGCACTTACAATCTGGAAAGGAGGCAGAAAGCCAACTAACTAAATACATACATGGCAGCAATCAGCTCAAACTTAACAACAATTGTGAGGATGGCGCAGGACTGGGTGTTGTTTTGTTCTATTGTATATAGGGACACTATCAGTAGGAACTGACTCAACAGCAAATAACAACAAGAACAAATTATGATAGGATTGTAGAAGAATTGATGCTTTTGATTTATGGTGTTGGATTAAAAGTACCAGGGATGCTAGAACACATAAATTTGTCTTGGAAGAAGTACAGCTAGAATGGTCCTCAGAAGGTAGGATGGTGACACTCTGTCTTTCATACTTTGGACATATTATCATGCTTGGGAAAGTGAAAGGTCAGCAAGAAAGAGGAAGACCTCCAATGAGATGGCCCAGGTAGTGGAATGTTTTGCGGTTTGCTCAGGAAGTTCAATGTGCAGCTAAAGCTCATGACCACTAAAGTAGGCTATACTTTTGATGCCAAGAATACATACCATATGGTAAATCCTTGGCTGGCTGAGTGACATTATCTGATTCACATGTAGGAGGAATTCTTGACCCATAGTAACTACCGATTAACTGAAGCAAAGAGAATTAGAAACCACTTTCCACCTCTGAGTCAGCCAGATCAATAACCTGCTCTACGTGGTAATCACTAGAAATTAATGGGGCCACCAAAATGAGTTCTGAAATCAAACCACCATCCATTGCAGGTTCATAGGCCATCAATAACTCCATCTGAAGGAAAGGAACCACAAAGACATTCATTATAAGACCAATATGAAACTTAATTTCAATCACTTTCTCTCTCATTACATACCTGGGGACCTTTACTTCCAAGACTTCCTTTTTCTCCTTTCACACCAACATCTCCTCTTGGACCCTAAATACATAGAATTAAAGCATTATTTTCTCCCTGAAAGCAAACACTTAAATGCTCACTTGGACATTAAACATGAAAATGCTGTCAGTGGCATGGACAGAAATTGAAAAGAGAGCTCTAATTTATTTTGTGTTCTGTCTTGATCTGTTGAAATCTCATCCCTGCAGGGATATGATGGCTCCATCTGAAACAAGTGGGTGGCCATATGCAGTTGAAATGACTGTGGCTTACAAGAAATACAGAACAGGGAAGGCTGTTTATGGCTCTGAAATCTTGATAAATGAGGACATTTCTCTTCTGATGTTTAAGGATATTTCGCCCAACTTCCATGCACTAAGCTGCCAACATATCATAGTTACTTTTATTTTTAAAAAATTATGCTATGTGGATTAAAACTTTGAAAACTAGCAGAGCCACTGATTGTCATGCATATGCCAAATGCCATTATTTTTCAAAACAAAAAGTTTTGGAAGGAAACAAAAAGTTCTAACTTTTTGTTGTCTGACCTTCTTTCATGTCAGCATTTGCTAAAGGCCTCTCTTTTCTTCTCATTTATTATTTTAGGCAACATTTTGCCCTCTCTGGTACTTGCTTCCCTTTCCCTCATGTGATCACGTAAAAAAGCCAACAATGGTTTATTCCTTGCAAAGGAAAAAGTGCTCAAGACATCTCGATCCTGGAGAAGTGAGCTAGAAAAAACAGCTGAGTGCCACACTGTAGAACTCCCCACTGAAGACTCCAGCTGTATTTGGAAAGCCATTTTTCTACATCACGGCCATCTAACTATGTAATACTGAGCTCTTACTGTGCTAAATTGACCACAGTTCTCAGATTTGTGGCTCAATATTTTCCTTGTCTCAAGGTCTCCCTGGAATACCCTACCAGCCTGAACGTAATGCACAGAGACAGCTGCCAGGTGTTTGTTCTTTAACTTCTTGACTGGCAATAAAGACAAAGATGCTCAAGGGCCATGCTAGCCAAGATAGCATTGCTTTCTTAACTTCATTACCCTGAATTCACTTTAACAATGGTAATTCTGCAATGAGCTTAGAAGGCTACTATCAAGGTTTCAAGTTCTCTCACTCCTAAGTGAGAAAACATAAATGTCTCTATGTTTCCACAATTTAGTTCTGATATATACCTGAGGCCCCTTTAATCCCAGAGACCCTTCAAGTCCATCGGGGCCTTGGACTCCGCTGTTCCCCTGTGGTGAGAAAGAATCAATCTGTGAACACTGTTTCTTGAGGACATTGTCTTTTTATGGGTAAGGGTGTAAATATTTTTCTAATCACAATGATAATTCATGACTTTTTTTAAATGGAAAAATAAAAACAAATACAAAGAAGAAAATAAAAATCTATGCTTCAATCAAACATTCTGATGTGGCATTGTGGATCAGCACTGGACTCTGAACCACACGGTTGGCAGGTCAAATCCACTAGCTGCTTCTCAGAAACCCAGGGTTGCTATGAGTCAGAAAAGACTCAATGGCACTTAACAACAACATATGTATGTAAACTCACATATTTTGTTTTTTTTTTCTATAAAATTTGTATTATATTGTATCTACACCTACTACTCACTTACCAACTATATCATCATCCAAAATTTCACATATATAACAATGAAAAAGAAAAACTACTATCCACCTAGTCTGTGCATTAATGGTGTGCATCTGGAAATAGCAAACACTGAGGTGGGAGACACTCAGGCTAAGATGGTTAAGGTAATGTGTCAACTTTTCTGGATCACAATTCTCAGTGGTTTGACAGTTTCGTAACTATGGAGTCCTGATGTAGCAAAGTAGAATAAACACTGGACTGCTAACCACAAGGAAGGTGATTTAAACTTACCAGCCGCTCCTCAGAAACCTTATACAGGGTTGCTATGAGTCAGAACTGACACAATGACACTGAACAACAACAATTAGTCTAAATTTGTATCTCAGTTGTTATACAATTGTTACAATTACATATTCCTCACTGATATATTCTTTCATTATAAATCGGAAAGAAGAAATCCCTCAACATCTCTTTCCTTTCCTTTATTTCATCCAGTTGTTCTTGGTTTGTCCTCCTTTTTGCTGAAGTCTAACTTGAAGTGGGATAGATGGTAAACTCTCTTAGTCTTTGTGTATCTGAGAATGTCTATTTTTCATTTATTCATAGTTTAGCAACATATAAAATTCTATATTAACACTTCTTTTTCCTCTGCACTGTGAAGATACTACTCTGATACTTTCTGGCATGTATTATTTCTGCTACAATCTAATTTGTCATTCATCGACAGGCAAAAATATATTTTCTCTCTGGTAGTATTTAAGGTGTTTTTCTTTAAAATTTTGGGGTTTTACCATGATGTGATTGAAAGTGTATTTATTATGTATCCTGAAGGTACTTTTAATATGAGGATGTGTTTCTTCAATTTTGTAAAATGCTTACAATTGTTATTTTATAAATGTTGCACATATAATGAGGTTATAAATTATAAATCTCTTTGGTATAATTAACTTTTGAACAGACATATAGAATATCTAATATCCATTAGGGTTTTATTGCATTTCCTTGGATTATATGGGATTTATGCAAGATTTCAGAGTTAGCAGAACAAAAACCTCAAAGAGGTCACCTACTAAGTTACCAGAGTTTGCATTTGAAATACAAACAAAGTTAAATTTAACAATAATTGGGCCAAGTAATCAACACAAAGTTAAATGTAATAATAATTGGGCTAAATACTGTCTCTGGTCATTAATTTTTATGATCTTTTGTGAAAGTGCCCGAACTTCTCCATGATTTTATTCTATAACTAATATCATCAAAAAGGAAAATGAATTTCAGATTTCATAAAAGCCTTAGTAGAGCTATTACTCAAGTTCATTGACAAGACATAGAATGCTTATCCTTTAGGGTTCATGGAAAAAAAAATCATTGTACCTGTGGGCCTGTGTGTCCCCTTTGGCCATGAGTTGCCTAAAATAGAAGAAAAACGGGGAATATCATTTAAACAATTTGATTCTATTAGTAACGGATACCTTAAGGCACTCAAGTAAATAATTCCCAACTACTACTTCAGTTTTTTCCTGCATCATGAAAGCAAAGTGTCACTAATTTTCACTTTCAATCTGAGGGTAATAAGTAATGAAATCATTGACAGTTGAATTCTACAGATACTCATGTAAATAGATTGTAGCCGATAATTTGTCCTTCACTGAACGGAAACCCTGTATAGGGTCGCTATGGGTCGGATCCAATGCTACAGCACTTAACAACAACAACGACCAAACTGCAAAACCATTTGAACTGCAAGGTCGGTGGTTCAAGCTCACCAGCCGCTCCTAGGAAACCCTATAATGGGTCGTTATGAGTTAGAACCAACTTGATGGCAATTAACAACAAGAACAAAATTTTACTAGAGCTGTTCACAAGCTGAAAAATAGATTGATTTGAATTTTATTTCTTTTCACTTTCCCCGAGCACTACCAAGTAAGCCAGAAATCAGGAGTGCAATGGCCAAAGGGCAGGAAGCCAGAGGAAAAACTTAGAGAATTGACTCTATGAATTTTATTATAAATTAAATTCAGAAAACTAAAGACAGCCAAGCCTTAATTGTATCCAAAAAGCCAAATAATATACATCTCCCATTAGCTTCTCCAACAACATATTCCATTGGGAAAATCTGCTATAAAAGATCTCTTTAAACTGTTAAAAAACCAAAACTAAAACCAAAAGCATCACTTTGAGGATTAACGTGCGTTTGACACAATCCATGGTATTTTCAATACGTCATGTGAAAACTGGACAATGAATAAGTAAAACTGAAGAACTAGTGCCTTTGAATCATGGTGCGGACGAAGAATATTAAACATACCATGGAATGCAAGAACAACAAAAAAACTATCTTGGGACTAATTATAGCCACATTGGTCCTTAGCAGTGAGGATGGTAAGATTTTGTCTTAAGTACTTTGGACACGCTATTCATTGGGAACAGTCCCTAGAAAAGGACATCATTCTTGGTAAAGCAGAGGAGCAGTGACAAAGAGGAAGACTTTCAATGAGATGGATTGACCCTGTGGCTGGAGCAGTGGACTCATACATAGCAGCAATTGTACAGATGGTACAGGATCTGGGAGTGTTCTGTTCTGTTGTACACAAGGTTGCTATGAGTTGAAATTAACCAGATCGCATGTCTCCACAGCTTAGATTTTCACAATCAGATATGAAAGAACCATCACAAGCATTTGAAAGCTACTTAATTCAGTGTTTATAAAAGGGGGCTTCAAAAAGTTCAGGGGAAAATCCCATTTTCCTCTAAGTTCATTTTTTTTCATGAACTTTTTTGAAGCCCTCTTATATAATTTACTTTTGTTATTGTTGTTTTTGAGAATATACCAGCAGAGTGTACACCAATTCAACAGTTTTTACATGTACAATTTAGTGACAATGATGACATTCTTTGAGTTGTACACCATTTCCATTTTTCTTTCATGAGTTGTTCCCCCCATATTCACATAAACTCATTGTTGTCTAAGTTTCCAACCAAATCTTTTTTTTTTTTTTTT